AAAGATGGTAATCTAATGGTGCCATATCTGGAGAATATGGTGGGTGGAGGAGAACTTCCCAACTCAACTCCATAATCTTGGCATAAACATGCCACATGTGACGTGCATTGTCGTGGAGAAGAACACCTTTCTGATTGATGAGTGAAGGGCTTTTCAGATAAAGAGCTTGATTTAAACATTCCAGTTGCTGACTATAGATCTCTGCATTGACAGTTTGCTGTGGACTGAGGAGTTTGAAATGAATTACTCCTTTGATATCCCAACAAATGCAAAACATCACTTTCTGTAGATAGATTCCAGGTTTTTGGGTTTGGAAGTGGATTTGTCTAGGACTGAGCCATTGTTTTTGGCATTTAATATTTGCATAGAAAATCCATTTTTCATCACCGGTGACAATTCCGTCCCAAAATGGTTCATGTGCATTACGTGGCCAAAGAGACGAAACAGTGTTCACACGTTGGAAACGATGATCATCGGAGAGTTTGTGAGGTACACAAACACCTTCTTTGTGGATTTTTCCCATAATTCCTTAGATGTTGTCCCCCAGTGGCATGTCTGCAGACTTACAATGCTAGAATCCAGGTTTCGATACCCGTGGTGGGCAGAGTACAGATAGCCCATTGTGTAGCTTTGTGATTAATTACAAAACAAACAAATCCTTAGATGTTTAAGTATTGTTTCATGTTGGTACCCAAACACCTTCTTTGTGGATTTTTCCCATAATTCCTTAGATGTTGTCCCCCAGTGGCATGTCTGCAGACTTACAATGCTAGAATCCAGGTTTCGATACCCGTGGTGGGCAGAGCACAGATAGCCCATTGTGTAGCTTTGTGATTAATTACAAAACAAACAAATCCTTAGATGTTTAAGTATTGTTTCATGGGAGACATGCAATTTCAGAGCCATTTCACAAGTGTGTTGCCTTGGGTTAGACTCAACAAGCATCTTCAGAGCATCAATATCAATTCCAACATGTCAGCCCCTGAATGAAATCTGCTGAACCATTGTTGACACTTACGAATGTTCAAAACATTTCCATAAACTTCTTTGATATTCTTTGTGGCTACAGAGGTGTTGTTTTCCTTCTTATATTCAAACAGCATTACATGCTGAATGTGTGTTTCATTGTGTGCCATCACTATAA